ACACACACACACACACACACACACACACACACACACACACACACATACATACATACACACACGAACTTTCAAAAAAATATCCCTTCTTGGTTGAAGCAAATTGCAGATGGCAGCTTAAAAAAAGCGACTGGCCAAGTTTATAGGACACACAATGCGGAAAGAAGCATAGAGGAGAATATAGTAGCAAAAGGCAAGTTTGATGGAAAGAGAGGTAGAGGCAGATATACGGGGAAAAGATACTGGACAGATTGACAACATGGCTGGGAACATTAACAGCAAGATCGACAGACATCATCGCTGCAACGCAAGACATAGAAGTGGATGTCCACGATCGCCAACGCCAGTCGGCACGGCACCAGATGAGTAGAGTAGAAAAGCTCCGGGGTGGACTGATGACAAACAAACACGGAAAAGAGTAACAGAATGATAAACTGTGTCGATGAATAGATGCACCGAGTCGGAGGTGATCCACAGGAACTCTAAAATCACAAACACAAGATTTCTTCCATCGACAAATTACTATCCCAAGATAAAAAATTCGAAAATCAATATATTTCATTTTGTGGCAATTCCTACCTTTTTTCTTCTTTTTGAAACGATTGTTTTGCCTTTTTGTTGTTTTTGAGGGGGGGGGGAACAAAGGGTATACAAAACTCGACGGGAAGACTGATTTTCTGACAAAACAGTCCATCATGTTACCTGGGACAGTTATCAAAGAAATTAGAAATAGTAAAAGGTTTACAGCCCCCGCCCCAGTACATTCTGGAACAGGAACAACATCAGGAAAATACAAGTATTTCTTTTGTTCATATCAAAAGTTTTGAGTTTTGAGTTTAAGAGAGAAAGATGCCATATATAATGCTGAAATTTTGCAGGGAAAAAGGAACATAAAGCAACGTATTTCAGTTTTTATCAGTTACACATCAACAATACAATCTGGCGGTCATTTACCAGAGAAGAAAAACTGAGTGTGATGAGTCAGACAGACTATTAAAACAAAGTGAGTAAAGAATCTGGTTTATCATGAGCACTCTTGAGAATGACTTATCGAACAAGACCAAATTCCCAATTTAAAAAATAGAGGAAACGCAGTAAAACAAACACTAATATGACAGGACTAAAAAAGATCCTAAAAGTACAGGATCATCACCCAAGACATCATTCTGCACTCCTACAGGAAACACCCCCCCCTCCCCCCTCTCCAATAAAACAAAAGGTGTACATACGTTTATTTATTTATATTTTTTAAAAATAATTTTTTGTTAGTTGGCTTCTCATCAAGAATTTATCCCTTTTATTTTCTTTAAAAAAAATTGTAACTGAATTTTTTTCCATGTTTTCAACATTGCAGACTCTTATTACAGAATAATTCACTTTCTTATTTGACGGCAATTTCGTTCCTCTAATCTACTGTAAAAAGAAGTTTTCTAGATCTTTTTAATTTTCTGAAAATTGCAGTCTATAAACCAGGACATTGAGTGTAATTTAAGAGACAAAAAATGAGACACATAATTATCCTAGACTTTCAAGAGTTTCAAAAAAAAATGTAGATGGGAATTAGCTACCACTTCAGAGAAAAGTAGCACAGAGTGACAACCGCGGTTTACCTACAGTAAGACAACAGGATATCACTGATATCAGTAACGCACATGCTACTAATTTGGCAACATAGAAACATACATATTTAAGAGAAAACTCATCTGGATCGATAACAACAAGGGAAAACTCACCTAGGTTATTATTATCTTTACTGGTCATTCCCTGAGTGGTGGTAGATGGTCCCTCTCCTGAACTCGCAATTGCTCTAGAAGAGGACTGAGGTAAATGCCGTGGAGTAGTGGTACTAGGGGAAGGAGTTGTGGTGTACATCCCAAAGCTGTTTGAGTTAGAGGACTCGTCTTCCTCCCCCTGGCTCTGAGATGGCATGGCGAGGTTCACAGAGGAGGAAAGTATAGAGGACACACAGCCCGTTAGGTTTGGACCACCACCGGAGTTGCCACTGAGAGACAATGGCATTCGGCTCAAACCTGAGGAGCCTTCAGGAGCAGTACTAGACACAGAGCTGTAGCAACCAGCCTGGACTGAGGAGTCACTGGACATCAGGTGGCCACTGCTACCACCACTTCTTTGACCGTCCGAAGAGCTGGGCCCTTGCTGAGTCCGTGGATCACCCATCAGGCTAGAGTGAGCCGGTGCAGAGAGGGAAGTGAGGCTGTATCCGGGTGTGGTGTTGCCGCCACGACCACTGCCACTACTGATCTGGTTCAGCTGAGCAAGCGAGCCGTGGGCGCCCCCCACACGGTTCGAGTCCATCTCTCTGACTATTGTCGAGAAACGGACATGAAGACCATATATGCACTGTGGAAGCAAACAGAAATATCAAAGAATTAAATATTTCTTTTACGTATATACAGGGATATAAAAATATACCGTTTTGCTTTATACATTTCAGCTATAGTTTCTTCGTTTTCGTATTCGCTGGTTAAAAGAATTCTAGATCATTTATCAATTTGTCTATATGCCCACGAACTTTGCAGCAACTGAACAAAAATATTTTTTCCAAAAATCTTAATCCAGTAAAAAAAAAGTTTCTCTATTTGGCTCCTATACTAAAAACTGCTCTTTGGGTCCATACACACAAAATGATTTTCGATACCTCACTTTCAAACTGCTCATTTCAATAAAATAACATCACTCTGTCCCCTATATTTTGGTGCAAGTTAGGCTTGTGTATATATATTTCATCCCACCCTACAATTGTCTAGACATTTCCATGTATGTCTTAAAAAGTGTTTAACCCGTCTTTTGGACCGTTTTTCTTAGGCTTAGGCCTAGTTTAAAGCGTGGTGTTGAGGAAAATAGGTCAACCTTTTAGGTGAGAGTGTGAGCTGTAAATCCCCCTTTTTAAAAATCCACTTTAGGCTAACATTGAAGGAAATCTGTAGGTACCTTGTTTGCTGTGACCTTTGAGGAATACACACTACAGGAATAAGTATCCAGAAATCGCAAGAACTAACAGCCCCCTTAAGTCTCTACACTTGTCACTAAATTAATGAAATTGTATGATCTTTTCACATGCTGCAATACCAACTGCCTGAGACATGATTGTCAGTGCTTTCCCTAGTCATTTCAGATTAAAATATGCACACACCCAAAGAAGAAGGGGAAGAATAAAATATAGGTGTAGCTCTTCTGGGCTAAGGCTCTGGACTTTTTTTTTTTAGAGGGAGTAGACATTAAGAAAGAAATTTCTGCCTAAGATAGTCTGCACTGTTAGATTAGGAACTGTATAAAACTGTAAAATCTATTCTGATATATGTCTCCAAAGCACGATCGCATATCCAAATTTAGCTTCCCCTTCAGCCCACAAAACCATAGATCCCCCAAAAAAGAGACATCATCAGTACCAGCAAAACGTCAACATCCTAGTTTCACAGAGTCTCCTAACAAAGCAAAATGTATTAGACTTAGAGAGAAGCAGTTACATAATTTATTAGTAATTGTTTACCACTTTAAGCACACTGGAACTCAATTTGAAGGCAGAAAAAGAGTCACCCACCCAAAAATAGGAAGCTGAGAAGAAATACCCCTTGAGGAGGAGGAAAAATAATTCAAACCTTCAACTTATGAATGGCAGATAAAGCCCATAACAACAGCACCATGTCATCAGCACGTAAAAGAATCAACGGAAGTAATTATGGCATTAATAAAGGAAAAGCAAAAGATAAGAAGCTCAATTACTAATAATAAAAGAAGAGGGATAGAGGTGGGAAGTGTAAGCAGCGGTTTCCATTCAAATCATCACCATACTTTAAAAACAGGAAAAAAATCAAGAGCTTAAAAATCAAGATCAAGGGAATAGAAACAAGTAACATACTTCATGCATCATTAAACAATGTCTATGCAATCCCTTTAATGTACTTTTAATTTATACTGTAACATTTTACTTTTGAGCGAAAAAAAAAATTACTTAGCATTTTTGCAACATGTAACCTTAAACTGCTACTGCTACTGCTACCCTATCTCTTGCTAAAATAATTAAAATCAGTGAACAACATACTGTACTAGATATTAACTCACTATCTGACAGTAATCTAATGCAATCTTTAAAATAAAAATTGTGTATCTTTCTTCTTTAGTAAAAATTGCACTTTTAGATAATAAATTTTACACAAGATCAGTCTTTGTTAACACTGAACTGAGAATTACATGAAATTATGTACTGTCAGAGTAACATTTACCAAAACTGTGACTTCTTCTAGATTTTAACTTTGTTTTGTACATCTAATCATCGCACCGACTGGGAAGTTACAGCAGGATCCATAAAAAAGATGGAAAAAAGCCTGTGTCTAGCTTGACTGCTGATAAGATTATGGTTGTTTGAAGAAGAGCAGTAAGATTCACATTCTTTTCTTTTGTGTGAGAAAAACTGAGGCTCAAATCAGTAGACAAACATATAGAGCAACCAGAAAACATACACAGATAATTTATGATTATATCTTTGAAACAAAAATGTTACCAAATTACGGATTCAACACAATTTCAGAGGACACTAAAAACCCAAAAGTAATCACAAGCACAGAACTGCATAATTAATGTCACTACAGCCTGCAAGATTTTACTTATAGTCTTTTAAAAAATATTTTTAAAAATCAGCTTTTTTGTTAATAAAATTCGGAGTACAGAAAAGAGCGAGGATTAAAAATCTTGATATGACATGTACACAGTTTAAAACATAATATCGGCTGCACCATTCACTTTCTGAAGCCCCAAGTTTCATAGTACTTTTACTCTTTTAGAAACAAACCTTTGCGTTAAATGTCTTGGGTCAGAAGGGTGTACATTATACTGACTTTTTACTGTATGATGACTTGAATGAGATGAATGAATTATGACATGACATCACCCATTCATGAGATTTCTGTTGGCGTAGCTAGTTCAGAAACATTTCAAAATGATAGAATAGAAGCTTTAAAGAAAAATTAAAAGACACAAGAACTACCTATGGAACTGGTAGCACAAATTACAATAAAACGAAGTAAGAGAGCAATTGCGTGGATTAAACAGCCAACAAAGGTAATGAAAAAAGATATAAAAGGGAAAGAATACATACATATATACATACATATATATATATACATATATACATATATATATATATATACATATATATATATATATATATATATATATGATATATATATATATATATATATATATATATATATATATATATATATATATATACAGGGCTTGAAATAGACCGCGGCGCCGCCGCAATTTGCCTTGGTGCCTTTGCAATTTGCCGTAATGCCCTTAAAATCAAAGTGTCAGCTGCAGCAATTTTTGCAGCGCCCTTATTTTGTTTTAAAAAAATAATAATCAAAATGTAATAAACGGTGGAAACGATTGAACCAATTGATTCAGTCAGTACAGTAGGCCTACATAATAATGTGGTCTATGAGGGTGGGCGGGCGGAAGAGAGGAGTCAGTTCGGTCTCACGCCTCATCTCGTGCCCTCCCCGCCAGCTCCAACCTTGGACCGATCGTCCATACATGGCTAGGCCGATAGTGAGTGAAACCTTTCTAGGCCTATCTCTATTTTCAATAACAGTGAAAACAGTTCATAGCAAAAAGTGAGCTTAAGAAGAAGTCACGTTTTCAATGTTTAAAAAAAAATGGTGATAGAACAAGAAAGCACTGAGTTCGCGACATACTGGCTTCTGTACACGTATCCCCCCCCCCCTCCCCCGACACACACATACGAAATGAAGGGTGCAAAATAGTACTTGTTTTTTTAAAAGTATTTTACAGCGCTCGCAACAGGATAAGGTCATATGAGCGCGCGGGACACACATACATTTTCAGTTGGTAGGAAATTTTGAATTTTGCCCTGGTGACAGCCGAAGCCTACTCTTATCGATTTTGGACCACCAAGGCATCTTTAACGGGCGCAACTTGGACACGCGACCTCCGAGATTTTTCGCCCTTGTCCGAGAAGGCTAGGTGTAGATCTTTCCTACCAGAAGATCAGGGGTGTGGCAGAAAGACAGCAGTAAGAAGGAGCCAAGGAGAAGCAGTAGAAAGACAGCAGAAAGAGTCAGGGGCCCAGAGGAGGGGGCAAAGGAGGTGAGGGGGAAGGGGCAGAAAGTAGAGAAGAATGCAGACAACAGAACATTGCTGGAGAGCAGGAAAGAAGGTGAAAGGAGAACATTTTTAGAGAAGAAATTTTTTTCGATCGCTACCCGGATTCGAACCCTTTGAATGAAAAGTGAACACCTTAAACTCTAGGCCACGAGAGCCCCCAATGCGCTTGTAATATTTATTAGGCTAATTTGATTTGAATAATATGGTTCTACAATAGTTGGGGGGAGGGGCTAAAAATTACAAATGTTTGTGTACAAATACATGTATTTGAGCTTATTTAGAGGGTCCAAAAGAGAGGAGATATATGCAAATTTTGACCGATCATAATATGACCTATGAATGAAGACCGCTGAATGGATGATTTCTTGGAAACGGCCGAGAACTGTAACCCTTGAGTCTCGAAGTTTTTCTTGAGCGTTTTGTTCACGAAGTTACTGTAGTTTTATTAATTTCATTTGACCAAGACCATGCCAAAACGAAAATGAAAGTTGAAGGAGTAGTGAAAGCAGCAAAAGATCAGATGCAAAAAGTTAGATGCATTCTACACTAAATTTTTATGGTTATATATATATGCATGTAGAAAATACACGTATAAATATAATTATTTTGGTTGTAGCCCATTTTTCTTAATGTGTGAGTGTGTGTTTGGGGGAGGATAGAGGGATTCAAGCATAGCGTGTGTGTGCCTGCAAGAGATATTTGTGAATTTATGATACATGTACACATAGGTTTATGTTTCAATATGACTCATTTTAGTTTTATAAGCATAATATGTTTAAATGCTCATTTCATTCATAATATAATTTTACAAAATTTTCCAATGACTCACTCTAGTATAAGTAAAATATGTTCTAAATACTCTTTTCATTCTCATTCATAATTTTACAAAATTTTCCAACCCTCTATACTTTTGTGGAGAGCAAGAATAAATTGTATTGTTATTTACATAAAAGTTGTGATGCACGATCCAGTATTACCAACTTTAATCAACAAAATGATCACTAAGTTTTGCCTTGGTGCTCTCTGATTTTTAAGCCCCACCGAAGCAATTTTTGCCTGCCCTCCTGAACACATAATTCAAGCGTCCTATATATTATACAGTCAAACCTGCCTTAACGGGAACCTGTATATAACGGAAACCTGTCTTTCCGGAATCTCCCAGCTCCCCCTTGATATATTCCTCTTTAATTACTTGTATAAAACGGAAACCTGTCCAACGTGGAAACGGAAAGAAAAATCCGCTCCCTTCCGAGGGTTTCACCTGTCTAAGATGGAGAATGCTTTGCCAGTTCAGCCCTGATTTGAAACAAAACTCGCAAGTTTGGGTTCCACCGGCTCTAAACTTAATGCCATGGCCATGCCACTAGGCGAGGAAGGGGAGTAAGGGTAGCCAGAAACCAGAGATGTGAGGGGCGTCATTGGTTAACTGTGCTTGCTCCACCGATGGGTGGAACTAAGGGTGGAAGCTAAGGAGATGCTCTAGCGTTTCTGTTTTTAATAGGTAAAACAGTGGTCTTGAAAGGTGAGCACGGTGGTAATTGGATTAAGAGTAAGAGTGACCCATGTCATATTCAGACAGGATAGCGGTTGAGAGGTGTGAAGTCTTGACCACTGCTTGCCGATCAGACAACACCAACATTTTGTCTTGTTTGATTTTCAGTCTAAGATCACAAGTAAATTTATTTGATCAACGCGCAGATTTTCTAGCAGCGGCAGCAATCCGAAGATAGACAGACAGACTGAGGAGGGAATGATAGAAAGGAGGAAATTGGCCAGATTTTAATCAATCTGCAGGTACAAATGTACTGCCGACCAACCCGCAATGAATGAATGGGGATAGACTAACGGAATAATGGCCGATGGCAGGAAATGCGCAATCTGGCAGGTTTCTATAACATAAACTTATTGCCGAGAGAATTACCATAAATATTCGTAACTTATTATACAAGACAATGCGAAGGTGAGTACGGATCTTTTGCTACGGAATTTCGGTAGTCCTATGCTGTCGCAGATTTTTACGGAGGACCTGAACAAGTACAGAACTGGCAGAAAGTACGGATTTCTGTAAAAATACGGAAGAGTGGAAGCACCTCTGAAAGACAGCAGAAACCCCCCCCCCCCCAAGGAATAGTAGAAAGGCTGCAGAAACTGAGAAAGAGTCAGGAGCCCAGAAGAAAATTCCAAATAAAATTAAACTTTGGGGGCTCTCGTGACCTAGAGGTTAGGTGTTGGTCTGTCATTCAAAGGTCCCGGGTTCGAATCTGGGTAGCGACAGAAAAATTTTCTTCTTTAAAATTGTCTCTTTTCACCTCATTTTCTGCTGTCTAGCAATGTTCTGTCATCTACTTTCATCTCCCCTTTCTGCCCCTACTTCCTCACCTCCTTTGCCCACTCCACTGGGCTCCTGACTCTTTCTGCAGCCTTTCTACACTGCTTCCTCTTGGCTCCCTCTTACTGCTGTCTTTCTGCCACACCCCTGATCTTCTGGTAGGAAAGATATACACCTAGCCTTCTCGGACAAAAGGGCAAAAAATCTCTGAGGGCACCTGTGCAAGTTGCGCGCGTTAAAGATCCTTTGATGGTCTAAAATCGATTATAAGAGTAGGCTTCAGCCGCCACCCGGGCAAAATTCAAAATTTCCTACCAACTGAAAGAAAGTGGCTATTCTCACCCGCCGGAAGTTCTCGCAAGATCAACTCCTCCCCTCTTCTCTCTCTCTCTCTGTCTCTTTCTGAATACTGTCTATCGGTGTGGACGATCAAATTGACCAAAACAAAGTTAAAAAATGATGTTAA